ATGGTGTAGGGGCTAACATGGAGCTGTCGTGGTGTAGTGGTTAACACGGAGCTGTCATTGTGTTGGCTAAACACCGCTCATCTGCAGATCAGAAGGTCATGGGTTCAGGTCCTGACATTACCAGACTTTTGTTTCAGAAATGACCTTGGCTCCCGGGTTGTCCCAGTCTTAATTGTGTCATCATCATGTGCCCTGATGACTGGCTTAGGTATTCTTGCATCTCCACCGATCTTGTTCCTTTGTCTTCTGGATCACTTTTACAGATGACACCTCTCCGTGCCGCCATGGATTGAACACCTGGATTCGGATGTGAGCAAAAATATAGGATTCATGTGTAGGCACATGAAAAAAAAAATGATATTTATATGTTTAGTTTTTTCCGGTTTACAGACGTCATTGATCACCATTTTGAGGTCTTCATGGTGAAGTGGTCTAGTGAGTTGCCTTGCCACCAAATGTCATGGGTTGATTTGGATTACAATGTTTTGTTCACAAGTGTAGTTTTCCCAAAACTCACAAGTCCTGATATACACCGGTCATTCTGACATCCTCGTTATTTTAACAGTTTCTATTTGTGTTGTTACTTTAACAATTTGACACAAAATTACATTTAACATTATTGTTAAAAAGTACGAGGAGCGTCTGGCCAAGCGGTTACAATGTCAGCCTCTCATGTGTGAGACCCGGGTTTGACTCCCAGTAAGGGGATGGACTTTTTCTGTCGGGGGCAAAATTAAACATCCTAACCAGCACAGTCCGTGGCGAAAGCACTAGCCACGCTGCCCTAAATCCTCAGGCTTAAGGACCCTCTACACTGCTCTAAAAAGAGGTAAAACAGACAGCAGTGACGGTTCAGAAGTACATGATTATTTTTGTTGCATGTCTCGACATTGCTGGCGATCACTGATTGGCTTCCTTCTGTTCTCTTTCTCTGTGTTTGTTTGTGAGAGCAGAAGACCTTGGCGACCACGTTGTGGTCTACAACACCAGAGATGTAGCTCTGCGCAGCAACTTTTGGAGAACTTTCAAATATTTTCACCACACCAGGTAGGCCTAGCATTTCATTGTTTTGTTTTTCCCTTTACACTCAGCTTATTTTGTGCTTGTTTACACTTCAATAATCTGCAGTGAAACTCTGTCGCTGAACTCAGGACATGCCCATGTGTGTTCAGTCTCTCCCAATATTGTATAATTGTAAAACCCCTAAGGATCACTGTATGGGTTCCTTGGCTCCATTTTGGAAAGGGGGAATAAACCCACTATCTCCTAACAAGGATCTCATAAAAGCCAACTAATTAGGGTTATTTCCTTCGAGGTCAGAGTGTATCTCTCTGAGATGCAAAGAGCCAACAGTCTGCTTACAAATAACCAGATCTGTAAAATAGATGTGCACATAAAACTGTGTAGTTCTGGAATGAGACTAAAGTCCAGAAGTGGGTGAACAACCAAAACATTCTGCCTGAATTTACAGCCGGTGAACATGAAGGAGAACAGCTTATATTGTCTTATCTCATCTGAATATGCCACATTTAAATATTTCTCTATCTTTTCTTCTTACTACGCTTTGTTTTATAAAACTTCTGATGGGTTTTTCATCAGAGTGCTTTGTCCTATTATCTCTGTTTTATGTCAAGTGTGTCTGAATGTTCTCCTGCTGTGATTGGATCTTTCAATTTGTAGTGACCTATCATTTATCTAGACCTCACAGCTTTATGTAACTTGTAGATAACCTTCTGAAAATGTCTCCGGTGATGATGGTACATTGATGGTTGTTACGTTGTGTGTGTCCTGGTCTCAAAGTCAGGTGGAGACATCGTTACTGCATGCTGACACAAAGTCAGGTGGAGACATGGTTACTGCATGCTGACACAAAGTCAGGTGGAGACATCGTTACTGCATGCTGACACAAAGTCAGGTGGAGACATGGTTACTGCATGCTGACACAAAGTCAGGTGGAGACATTGTTACTGCATGCTGACACAAAGTCAGGTGGAGACATCGTTACTGCATGCTGACACAAAGTCAGGTGGAGACATTGTTACTGCATGCTGACACAAAGTCAGGTGGAGACATCGTTACTGCATGCTGACACAAAGTCAGGTGGAGACATGGTTACTGCATGCTGACACAAAGTCAGGTGGAGACATTGTTACTGCATGCTGACACAAAGTCAGGTGGAGACATCGTTACTGCATGCTGACACAAAGTCAGGTGGAGACATGGTTACTGCATGCTGACACAAAGTCAGGTGGAGACATGGTTACTGCATGCTGACACAAAGTCAGGTGGAGACATCGTTACTGCATGCTGACACAAAGTCAGGTGGAGACATCGTTACTGCATGCTGACACAAAGTCAGGTGGAGACATCGTTACTGCATGCTGACACAAAGTCAGGTGGAGACATCGTTACTGCATGCTGACACAAAGTCAGGTGGAGACATGGTTACTGCATGCTGACACAAAGTCAGGTGGAGACATTGTTACTGCATGCTGACACAAAGTCAGGTGGAGACATCATTACTGCATGCTGACACAAAGTCAGGTGGAGACATCGTTACTGCATGCTGACACAAAGTCAGGTGGAGACATGGTTACTGCATGCTGACACAAAGTCAGGTGGAGACATTGTTACTGCATGCTGACACAAAGTCAGGTGGAGACATCGTTACTGCATGCTGACACAAAGTCAGGTGGAGACATCGTTACTGCATGCTGACACAAAGTCAGGTGGAGACATGGTTACTGCATGCTGACACAAAGTCAGGTGGAGACATGGTTACTGCATGCTGACACAAAGTCAGGTGGAGACATGGTTACTGCATGCTGACACAAAGTCAGGTGGAGACATCGTTACTGCATGCTGACACAAAGTCAGGTGGAGACATCGTTACTGCATGCTGACACAAAGTCAGGTGGAGACATGGTTACTGCATGCTGACACAAAGTCAGGTGGAGACATTGTTACTGCATGCTGACACAAAGTCAGGTGGAGACATGGTTACTGCATGCTGACACAAAGTCAGGTGGAGACATGGTTACTGCATGCTGACACAAAGTCAGGTGGAGACATGGTTACTGCATGCTGACACAAAGTCAGGTGGAGACATTGTTACTGCATGCTGACACAAAGTCAGGTGGAGACATCGTTACTGCATGCTGACACAAAGTCAGGTGGAGACATCGTTACTGCATGCTGACACAAAGTCAGGTGGAGACATTGTTACTGCATGCTGACACAAAGTCAGGTGGAGACATTGTTACTGCATGCTGACACAAAGTCAGGTGGAGACATTGTTACTGCATACTGACACAAAGTCAGGTGGAGACATCGTTACTGCATGCTGACACAAAGTCAGGTGGAGACATGGTTACTGCATGCTGACACAAAGTCAGGTGGAGACATGGTTACTGCATGCTGACACAAAGTCAGGTGGAGACATGGTTACTGCATGCTGACACAAAGTCAGGTGGAGACATGGTTACTGCATGCTGACACAAAGTCAGGTGGAGACATCGTTACTGCATGCTGACACAAAGTCAGGTGGAGACATTGTTACTGCATGCTGACACAAAGTCAGGTGGAGACATGGTTACTGCATGCTGACATAAAGTCAGGTGGAGACATGGTTACTGCATGCTGACACAAAGTCAGGTGGAGACATTGTTACTGCATGCTGACACAAAGTCAGGTGGAGACATTGTTACTGCATGCTGACACAAAGTCAGGTGGAGACATTGTTACTGCATGCTGACACAAAGTCAGGTGGAGACATGGTTACTGCATGCTGACACAAAGTCAGGTGGAGACATTGTTACTGCATGCTGACACAAAATCAGGTGGAGACATTGTTACTGCATGCTGACACAAAGTCAGGTGGAGACATTGTTACTGCATGCTGACACAAAGTCAGGTGGAGACATTGTTACTGCATGCTGACACAAAGTCAGGTGGAGACATTGTTACTGCATGCTGACACAAAATCAGGTGGAGACATCGTTACTGCATGCTGACACAAAGTCAGGTGGAGACATGGTTACTGCATGCTGACACAAAGTCAGGTGGAGACATGGTTACTGCATGCTGACACAAAGAAAGTCAATTAGCCTTGCATATTTAACAGCAGGTGAGAGGTAACGTTTGTGTTTTCAGTGGTTGAATCCTCACAGATTTACTGTCTGTGTCTCTCCAGTGATTGCTTGTTTTGTTGACACAAGCATGTTTTTATCTTGCGGACATGCTGGTTTCACCAATGATTGCTTGTTTTGTTGACACAAGCATGTTTTTATCTTGCGGACATGCTGGTGGTTTCACCAATGATTGCTTGTTTTGTTGACACAAGCATGTTTTTATCTTGCGGACATGCTGGGGGTTTCTCCAATGATTGCTTGTTTTGTTGACACAAGCTTGTTTCTATCTTGCAGACATGCTGGTGGTTTCTCCAATGATTGCTTGTTTTGTTGACACAAGCATGTTTCTATCTTGCAGACATGCTAGTGGTTTCTCCAATGATTGCTTGTTTTGTTGACACAAGCTTGTTTCTATCTTGCGGACATGCTTGGGGTTTCACCAATGATTGATTGTTTTGTTGACACAAGCATGTTTTTATCTTGCAGACATGCTGGTGGTTTCACCAATGATTGATTGTTTTGTTGACACAAGCATGTTTTTATCTTGCAGACATGCTGGTGGTTTCACCAATGATTGATTGTTTTGTTGACACAAGCATGTTTCTATCTTGCAGACATGCTGGGGGTTTCACCAATGATTGATTGTTTTGTTGACACAAGCATGTTTCTATCTTGCAGACATGCTGGTGGTTTCTCCAATGATTGCTTGTTTTGTTGACACAAGCTTGTTTCTATCTTGCAGACATGCTGGTGGTTTCACCAATGATTGCTTGTTTTGTTGACACAAGCTTGTTTCTATCTTGCAGACATGCTGGGGGTTTCTCCAATGATTGCTTGTTTTGTTGACACAAGCTTGTTTCTATCTTGCAGACATGCTGGGGGTTTCTCCAGGACATCAGCTTGGAGGATGCATGAATTTGACCCTACTAGAGTCAGTACTTTTTCTTATTTACTTTTACCATGTTAAATTGTTTTGAAATATGCTTTTCGAGGTCAGGAGGTGTGGTATATTCATCAGTTCTTGATCTGACGGCAGCCTTTTCAAAGCTGATAGGCTGAAAGCCAAAACCAAGATACTGAAAGTTCTTATCAGAGAGCTGCTGTTTGCAGATGATGCAGAAAAAAACCCACCCACTCAGAGGAGGAACTGCAATGTTTACTTTCTGCATTTGCTTATGCGTGCTGTGAATTTAGACTAACAGTCAGCAAAAAGAAGACACAGATTATTGTGCAAGTTGTTAACCACAAGATCTGCAGTCTACATTGATGGTGAAGAGCTGGCAACAATTGACCATTTTACCTATCTGGAATCCACAGCGAATAAAAAAAACTATCGCTGGCCCAAGAAATCAACATCAGGTTCTGTAAAGCAGCAATGGCAATGAGCAGACTAACAAGAAGAGTTGTTCTCTGACTCTTCTTTAAAGCATTGAACATGGTCAACTTAATCGCATCAGGAGAACTGCTAAATAGCTTTTCACTTGCAATGCCTAAGAAGAATACTTGGCATAAGTGGCAGGACAAGATCACAAATACTCAGGTAATGGAAAGAGCAGGTACTTTACATTTTCTCAGGGCTCAGTCCCCAAAGGTTCAGGTGGAGGGTGGTAGAGTCCATAAGGATGGTGAATTACAGACTGGTAGAAGATGTCGATGTAAGTGAGACATAAATAATACAGGTATTGGGCTAGATTAGAGGGAACAAAAGGCCATGGACAGTGTTGCTTGGACGGAGCAAACCAGGAAGAGAATGAGAATCAGGAAAGGATGAGAGCTGAGCGTCTTGACAAGCAACACACTCAAGACATAGCAACGATAGTCCGTAAATTCCACACTCTAATTTTGAAGACTTTTCTCAATCGGGCGGGTCTTGCTAGTCACACTCGCCATCACCATGGGCTCCAAGTCCCATACTTGCTCATAGCGCAGTATAACACTATCCTCTGGAAAGGTTCCTACAAACCTGTTAGAGTATGTACCTCGTCCTATTTACTTCTATCATGTTAGAAGACATAAGATGGTATACAGCTAAGTCTCAAGTGTTGGAGGAAGACTGTATAGCAGACTGCTGTAGTCTCCAGTACTAGTGTTGGGGGAAGATTGTGTATCACACTGCTGTAGTCTCCGGTACTAGTGTTGGGGGAAGATTGTGTAGCACACTGCTGTAGTCTCCAGTACTGGTGTTGGGGGAAGATTGTGTAGCACAATGCTGTAGTCTCCAGTACTAGTGTTGAAGGAAGATTGTGTAGCACACTGCTGTAGTCTCCAGTACTAGTGTTGGGGGAAGACTGTAGCACACTGCTGTAGTCTCCAGTACTAGTGTTGAAGGAAGACTGTTTAGCACACTGCTGTAGTCTCCAGTACTAGTGTTGGGGGAAGATTGTGTAGCACAATGCTGTAGTCTCCAGTACTGGTGTTGGGGGAAGATTGTGTAGCACAATGCTGTAGTCTCCAGTACTAGTGTTGAAGGAAGATTGTGTAGCACACTGCTGTAGTCTCCAGTACTAGTGTTGGGGGAAGATTGTGTAGCACACTACTGTAGTCTCCAGTACTAGTGTTGAAGGAAGACTGTTTAGCACACTGCTGTAGTCTCCAGTACTAGTGTTGGGGAAAGATTGTGTAGCACACTGCTGTAGTCTCCAGTACTAGTGTTGGGGGGTGGGGGGATTGTGTAGCACACTGCTGTAGTCTCCAGTACTAGTGTTGGGGGAAGATTGTGTAGCACACTGCTGTAGTCTCCAGTACTAGTGTTGAAGGAAGACTGTTTAGCACACTGCTGTAGTCTCCAGTACTGGTGTTGGGGGAAGATTGTGTAGCACACTGCTGTAGTCTCCAGTACTAGTGTTGGGGGGTGGGGGGATTGTGTAGCACACTGCTGTAGTCTCCAGTACTAGTGTTGAAGGAAGACTGTGTAGCACACTGCTGTAGTCTCCAGTACTGGTGTTGGGGGAAGATTGTGTAGCACACTGCTGTAGTCTCCAGTACTGGTGTTGGGGGAAGATTGTGTAGCACACAGCTGTAGTCTCCAGTACTGGTGTTGGGGGAAGATTGTGTAGCACAAAGCTAGTCTCAAGTACTGGTGTTGGGGGAAGATTGTATTAGGTATTTTTTTTTTTTTTTTAAACAGTAGAAATAGTTCAGGTTAATATTCATTTATATCCCAATATTTTTAACTCACATTTCTCTGTATTAATATGATTATGAGGAATCTGTTGTGTAGAATTTTCCTGTCATGTGTAGAATGTTCCTGTTGTGTGTAGAATGTTCCTGTTGTGTGTAGAATGTTCCTGTCATGTGTAGACTGTTCCTGTCATGTGAAGAATGTTCCTGTTGTGTGTAGAATGTTCCTGTAGTGTATAGAATGTTCCTGTCATGTGTAGAATGTTCCTGTCGTGTGTAGAATGTTCCTGTCGTGTGTAGAATGTTCCTGTCGTGTGTAGAATGTTCCTTGTCATATGTAGAATGTTTCTGTCGTGTGTAGAATGTTTCTGTCGTGTGTAGAATGTTCCTTGTCATGTGTAGAATGTTCCTGTCATGTGTAGAATGTTCCTGTCATGTGTAGAATGTTCCTGTCATGTGTAGAATGTTCCTGTCGTGTGTAGAATGTTCCTGTCGTGTGTAGAATGTTCCTTGTCGTGTGTAGAATGTTCCTGTCGTGTGTAGAATGTTCCTTGTCATATGTAGAATGTTCCTTGTCATATCTAGAATGTTCCTTGTCATGTGTAGAATGTTCCTGTCGTGTGTAGAATGTTCCTGTCGTGTGTAGTTTTTCCGGTTCTCCTGAGAAACACGCCGTGTCTGCACCCCACCCTCACCCCTATTATAACCAGTTGTCACTAAAAAGGGAAATTAGTTTGTGATCCATATTTAAATTCATGTGTTATCATGTTAATTTTTAACAACAGATGTACAAACTGTGAAAACAAAAATGTTGTTTTTGTTTTTTAAATAATTTAAAAGTTTATTTATAATTAAACTTGACAAAAGTTAGCATAATGATTTATTGCAAGTAGAAATGCATTAATATTGAAAACTGCCTGACGCCTTTTTTTGGAACTTCCTCACGGCGCCCCCTTCCTGTTGGAGACAACTGGTTTCCCCATCATTGATGGTTGTTGCCAGGAGTCCCTGATCTTTGTATCATTGATGGTTGTTGCCAGGAGTCCCTGATCTTTGTATCATTGATGGTTGTTGCCTGGAGTCCCTGATCTTTGTATCATTGATGGTTGTTGCCTGGAGTCCCTGATCTTTGTATCATTGATGGTTGTTGCCTGGAGTCCCTGATCTTTGAATCATTGATGGTTGTTGCCTGGAGTCCCTGATCTTTGTATCATTGATGGTTGTTGCCTGGAGTCCCTGATCTTTGAATCATTGATGGTTGTTGCCTGGAGTCCCTGATCTTTGTATCATTGATGGTTGTTGCCTGGAGTCCCTGATCTTTGTATCATTGATGGTTGTTGCCCGGAGTCCCTGATCTTTGAATCATTGATGGTTGTTGCCTGGAGTCCCTGATCTTTGTATCATTGATGGTTGTTGCCTGGAGTCCCTGATCTTTGTATCATTGATGGTTGTTGCCCGGAGTCTCTGATCTTTGTATCACTGATGGTTGTTGCCTGGAGTCCCTGATCTTTGTATCATTGATGGTTGTTGCCTGGAGTCCCTGATCTTTGTATCATTGATGGTTGTTGCCCGGAGTCTCTGATCTTTGTATCACTGATGGTTGTTGCCTGGAGTCCCTGATCTTTGTATCATTGATGGTTGTTGCCTGGAGTCCCTGATCTTTGTATCATTGATATTTCAGGTGCTTGAGAGAGCAGTGTACAGCCGTATGTCAGGGATGGATTGGCGCAAGCAGATGATGGCCCGGCTTCACTTATTTCCTGATGATGTGAGCAATTGTTCTGTAATTTACTGTATTTTCCGTTGTACTTTTCAGAAAGATGAGCTCCCTTTGTAATGTGTCTATCTTTTGTATTAGCTCTCGCTCATACGTACTCGACACGGACTGTTGTCTTGGGATTAGATGAAGCAGACTTCTCTGACAATCTACAGCACAACTCCAAATGTCAGTTGGTGAGGGTTGTGGCTGTTTTGTGTGTATTCACACCACCACATAAGTGACAAAAATCAACATTACAGCCTAACACTGATGCCATCCAGACAGGGTCCATTTGCTGGCATCTTGGGTTTACAGCCACGCCGCGGTCGACGCTGGCACAATCATCAGTCAGTAGGACACCTCCATTGTCCTGTACTTCAACGTGGCTTTGTGGCAACCACTTCACAGCTTGCACTCCTTGTCATTCAGGATCATTGTTCACTTCGTTTTACTCTGGATACACTGTCACTCCTATATCTCTGGGGTCCTGTCACAAAATGACTTCCCAGTCAGCTATTCCCCCAGACCTCATGTTCCCAGGTGAGCTCACACAGTCTCATGTTTTGCCATTCTTCATGTCTCTCAATCTAGGGACTTCCCCAATTCTGTCAACCAGTCAAACCCCTTACGTTAGAACTATTTTTAGCATCACTGTAAGACAAGTAATTGGCCGGTGTTTCTTTCATAGTGGGAATACATCTGCCTGAGAGTCAAGAAACCAACAGTCTGCATACAAATAAGCCAGATCTGTAAAAAACGAATGTGTATGCAAAACTCAAGTTCTGGAATAAGATCAAAGTTCAAAAGTAAATAGTCACAACTTTCCACCCCAGAGTTTATACAGCTAGTAGTTGCTTAGAAGTTTCTAGATGAATCTTTTTGTTTACGGTTGTTGGTGGAAGTTGATTACATTACCAAGACCAGGCACACAAGGTTGTCATATGTGCCAAGAAAAAAAAAAAAAAACAAGAAAATAAACAAAACAAAAACAAAAAAAAAAAAAAAAAAAAACAAAAAAAAACAAAAAAATCCAAAAAAAAAAAAACAACTGATGGCCAAAAATGAAACAAACCAAAAAAAACCCCCAAAAAAACAAAACTGAATCAGGCCATCATATGCCCAGATGTTTTATTTGTCACAGCTTTGTCTTGTTTAGTAATTGTCTCCTTATTTTCTCCAGCTTTCGTTTGTTTCCTTTTTTGTTTTTGTCATGTCTTTCTAATATTCAAAGATAGTCCTGGACTCTCCACCAACTGCATGTCTCAGTGTGAATAACAGATGTGGGCTAAAGATAATCCTGAACTCTCCACCAGCTCTGTGTGTCAGTGTGTATAACAGATGTGGGCTAAAGATAGTCCTGGACTCTCCACCAGCTGTGTGTGTCAGTGTGTACAACAGATGTGGGCTAAAGATAGTCCTGAACTCTCCACCAGCTGTGTGTGTATAACAGATGTGGGCTAAAGATAGTCCTGGACTCTCCACCAGCTGTGTGTGTATAACATATGTGGGCTAAAGATAGTCGTGGGCTCTCCACCAACTGTGTGTGTCAGTGTGTATTAATAACAGATGTGAGCTAAAGATAGTCCAGGACTCTCCACCAGCTGTGTGTGTATAACAGATGTGGGCTAAAGATAGACCTGGATTCTCCACCAACTGCGTGTCAGTGTGTATAACAGATGTGGGCTAAAGATAGTCCTGGACTCTCTACTAGCTGTGTGTGTCAGTGTGTATAACAGATGTGGGCTAAAGATAGTCCTGGACTCTCCACCAGCTGTGTGTGTCAGTGTGTACAACAGATGTGGGCTAAAGATAGTCCTGAACTCTCCACCAGCTGTGTGTGTATAACAGATGTGGGCTAAAGATAGTCCTGGACTCTCCACCAGCTGTGTGTGTATAACATATGTGGGCTAAAGATAGTCGTGGGCTCTCCACCAACTGTGTGTGTCAGTGTGTATTAATAACAGATGTGAGCTAAAGATAGTCCAGGACTCTCCACCAGCTGTGTGTGTATAACAGATGTGGGCTAAAGATAGACCTGGATTCTCCACCAACTGCGTGTCAGTGTGTATAACAGATGTGGGCTAAAGATAGTCCTGGACTCTCTACTAGCTGTGTGTGTCAGTGTGTATAACAGATGTGGGCTAAAGATAGTCCTGGACTCTCTACTAGCTGTGTGTGTCAGTGTGTATAACAGATGTGGGCTAAAGATAGTCGTGGGCTCTCCACCAACTGTGTGTGTCAGTGTGTATAAATAACAGATGTGAGCTAAAGATAGTTCTGGACTCTCCACCAACTGTGTGTGTCAGTGTGTATAACAGATGTGAGCTAAAGATAGTCCTGAACTCTCCACCAGCTGTGTGTGTATAACAGTTGTTGGCTTAAGATAGTCCTGGACTCTCCACCAACTGCGTTTGTCAGTGTGTATAACAGATGTTGGCTTAAGATAGTCCTGGACTCTCCACCAACTGCGTTTGTCAGTGTGTATAACAGGTGTGGGCTAAAGATAGACCTGGACTCTCCACCAACTGCGTTTGTCAGTGTGTATAACAGATGTTGGCTTAAGATAGTCCTGGACTCTCCACCAACTGCGTTTGTCAGTGTGTATAACAGATGTTGGCTTAAGATAGTCCTGGACTCTCCACCAACTGCGTTTGTCAGTGTGTATAACAGATGTGAGCTAAAGATAGTCCTGGACTCTCCACCAACTGCGTTTGTCAGTGTGTATAACAGATGTGAGCTAAAGATAGTCCTGAACTCTCCACCAACTGCATGTGTCAGTGTGTATAACAGATGTGAGCTAAAGATAGTCCTGGACTCTCTACTAGCTGTGTGTGTCAGTGTGTATAACAGATGTGAGCTAAAGATAGTCCTGAACTCTCCACCAACTGCATGTGTCAGTGTGTATAACAGATGTGAGCTAAAGATAGTCCTGAACTCTCCACCAACTGCGTGTGTCAGTGTGTATAACAGATGTGAGCTAAAGATAGTCCTGAACTCTCCACCAACTGTGTGTGTCAGTGTGTATAACAGATGTGAGCTAAAGATAGTCCTGAACTCTCCACCAACTGTGTGTGTCAGTGTGTATAACAGATGTGAGCTAAAGATAGTCCTGAACTCTCCACCAACTGTGTGTGTCAGTGTGTATAACAGATGTGAGCTAAAGATAGTCCTGAACTCTCCACCAACTGTGTGTGTCAGTGTGTATAACAGATGTGAGCTAAAGATAGTCCTGAACTCTCCACCAACTGCATGTGTCAGTGTGTATAACAGATGTGAGCTAAAGATAGTCCTGAACTCTCCACCAACTGTGTGTGTCAGTGTGTATAACAGATGTGAGCTAAAGATAGTCCTGAACTCTCCACCAACTGCATGTGTCAGTGTGTATAACAGATGTGAGCTAAAGATAGTCCTGAACTCTCCACCAACTGCGTGTGTCAGTGTGTATAACAGATGTGAGCTAAAGATAGTCCTGAACTCTCCACCAACTGTGTGTGTCAGTGTGTATAACAGATGTGAGCTAAAGATAGTCCTGGACTCTCCACCAACTGTGTGTGTCAGTGTGTATAACAGATGTGAGCTAAAGATAGTCCTGAACTCTCCACCAACTGTGTGTGTCAGTGTGTATAACAGATGTGAGCTAAAGATAGTCCTGAACTCTCCACCAACTGTGTTTGTCAGTGTGTATAACAGATGTGGGCTAAAGATAGTCCTGGACTCTCCACCAACTGCATGTGTCAGTGTGTATAACAGATGTGAGCTAAAGATAGTCCTGAACTCTCCACCAACTGTGTGTGTCAGTGTGTATAACAGATGTGAGCTAAAGATAGTCCTGAACTCTCCACCAACTGCATGTGTCAGTGTGTATAACAGTTGTGAGCTAAAGATAGTCCTGGACTCTCTACTAGCTGTGTGTGTCAGTGTGTATAACAGATGTGAGCTAAAGATAGTCCTGGACTCTCTACTAGCTGTGTGTGTCAGTGTGTATAACAGATGTGGGCTAAAGATAGTCCTGGACTCTCTACTAGCTGTGTGTGTCAGTGTGTATAACAGATGTGAGCTAAAGATAGTCCTGGACTCTCTACTAGCTGTGTGTGTCAGTGTGTATAACAGATGTGAGCTAAAGATAGTCCTGGACTCTCTACTAGCTGTGTGTGTCAGTGTGTATAACAGATGTGGGCTAAAGATAGTCCTGGACTCTCTACTAGCTGTGTGTGTGTCAGTGTGTATAACAGATGTGAGCTAAAGATAGTCCTGGACTCTCTACTAGCTGTGTGTGTAAGTGTGTATAACAGATGTGAGCTAAAGATAGTCCTGGACTCTCTACTAGCTGTGTGTGTCAGTGTGTATAACAGATGCGAGCTAAAGATAGTCCTGGACTCTCTACTAGCTGTGTGTGTCAGTGTGTATAACAGATGTGGGCTAAAGATAGTCCTGGACTCTCTACTAGCTGTGTGTGTCAGTGTGTATAACAGATGTGGGCTAAAGATAGTCGTGGGCTCTCCACCAACTGTGTGTGTCAGTGTGTATAAATAACAGATGTGAGCTAAAGATAGTTCTGGACTCTCCACCAACTGTGTGTGTCAGTGTGTATAACAGATGTGAGCTAAAGATAGTCCTGAACTCTCCACCAGCTGTGTGTGTATAACAGTTGTTGGCTTAAGATAGTCCTGAACTCTCCACCAACTGTGTGTGTCAGTGTGTATAACAGATGTGAGCTAAAGATAGTCCTGAACTCTCCACCAACTACATGTGTCAGTGTGTATAACAGATGTGAGCTAAAGATAGTCCTGAACTCTCTACTAGCTGTGTGTGTCAGTGTGTATAACAGATGTGAGCTAAAGATAGTCCTGGACTCTCTACTAGCTGTGTGTGTCAGTGTGTATAACAGATGTGAGCTAAAGATAGTCCTGAACTCTCCACCAACTGCATGTGTCAGTGTGTATAACAGATGTGAGCTAAAGATAGTCCTGAACTCTCCACCAACTGCATGTGTCAGTGTGTATAACAGA